TTGGCGCTGCAAATACCATTAAACCATAATGTATGGTACCAGATAGAGCAGAGTGTGACAGTTGTGGTCTTTACGCTGGAGGCTTTATGACATCCTTCGAAGTAAAACGAGTATGAAATAAAATTTTGCTCACTAAATTTCCCATTTACCAGAAGCGATTCCCTTGATAAAGCTAAGGTGATTCTACACAACATTAATTACCTGAAAGCAATTTTGTTAATGATGTTTCAAGTAGATAAATGTTGCCCAGTCATCTATAGAGGACAGTATATAGGCCTGGGTAAACCAGTAATTAGCACTTAATGAGATCGCCTTTATTTACTTTTGTTTGTTTGCATTGCCAGTTTTTCTTACCGTAGTTTTAGTTGTTTACGAACTTTTAGGCAAAAAAATGGAATCTCGAAGGGCGAATTATCAGTGTTTGCTCTTTTTTTGTAGACGTTCAGTCTACTGCTAGGTTTAGTAATAAAGATAACTGGTGTTGTATACTCTATTATTTGTATTTCTAAGTGCGTCGTCAAAAAATAAGTTGAAAGGGCTTATTTAGCATTATAAATACAGTTATTTTCAGTTAAGCTTACAAAAGCATCAAGAACGATGAAAGCAAACAGAATAAAATAAAAACTAAATGCAAATGGAAGATCGCGCATTAACCTACAATGAGGTGAAGCTTGCCACAACACTTGTCATTTTCCTTCTCCAGTAAAACAAACTGAAATGGATGCCTTTTGACAATGTAGAAAAATGGGTTCTCTACATTAGTCGAAATTATTTATTGAAAAGTAGAATTGGTTTTAATGCTTGTTAGAGTAAACACAGTTACGAACACGGAGTTGGTCACGCAAGGTCAAAAACAAACAATTTTTTTGTTGGTATTTGAAAAAGCGCTGAAGTTTACTTTTTCACGTCGAAAAATTACATTTACAAAAAAACGTGTAATAATTTTTGACAACAGGACCAAAAACACGTAATATGTACTTTTTACAGACAGTCTTAGAATACTATGGGCAATAATTAACATCTAAGTGAAGTCATTATTGTCGATTGAACTGCACGGTGGCAAGTGCTAAGTCGTGCTTGTCTCCTGTCATTCATTGAGCAGCATTGTGAAGTGGTGACATAGATTACTCTTAGCTTTTAATTTGAGCAAAAGACTCTTAGAAATTTACAAACAGGAATAAAAATGTTTCATACAGGCACCACGCAGACCCACCTACAAAATTCCATTTAAAATTGCAAGTTACTTTAAGGAGGTGACATTGTAAGTAAAACTATTCGGTTATATGGAGCTGTTTTCTCAAGTTAAAATAATGCATTGTGCGACCGCCCGAAAAGTTTTCGAGCTTAGTAAACTCCAATTAATGTTTTTTTAAACGTTGCAGCCTTATTAGCGTTCTTTCCATTATCCACGGTGTCAACTGTATTTTAAATTTACATTTTTCGGAGTGAAGTTTGCACTTTTACAGTGGTATAAACTGTTTTAATACAACCAACACTAACAGAGCAATGTGGACCCCCGAAATTAATTAAGTTAGGAGTTAGCCAGTTCCCATCTATCCAGGTGATACGTCTGGAGATTCAATTTTTTACATGTTAAAGTTTTGGACCAAGGCCCTCACTCCTGTTCTAGCCTGTAAATATGCCCATAATTCAGGAACTGTGTCAAATGAGCAACTTAAGGCTAGACGTATACAAGCACAACATTTTAAAAATAAAAATTCAGGTTAATACAGTTGGGTGCAGACTTTAGCCATTAAGCCTTAAAAAGAATAATCTTTAGCGTTCTGTGAAATATCACTCAATAGAAGTTAAAATACTAATGCAGACCTATTTCAGGACTACTGCAGATTACTAATTCAAGTGATAACTGACTTAAATTTACTGACAAAAGATTTATCTATATTTTTATTATCGACAATGCTTCACGATATTTGAAATAAATTTGGATGGTCATTTAAATAGACTATGTTTATGAGGTATCATAATGTGTCTGTAAACAATAAGGTTTTAACATTTTTTAAAACCTTGGAACAATTTGAAAGTATCAGAAATATTGGACGCTGTTTTATTATCCTTTTCTACTGAGTAATTATTAACGCATAGTCATTTCTCTCTCTGTAGGTTTAAACGCTTTTAGCTTAAGCTTTTTTAGTCTGATATAATTGTTAGCAGAAATTTGTGCTTAAATAATGCACCGAATAACACTAACGCCAAACTCTGAACATTGAGAAGCATCCAGTCTGATGTTCCATTAAGGGAGCCACAGTAATCATAAGGAAGCTTTATACCTTCAACCATTAATAAAGTTGGTAAACCAAATTTAGAGGCGCACACCTCTAAGTAACAGCCAACTATTATGCTACTAAAGACGTTTTCAGAAGTAAGGCATATCTTCTAAATGTACTAGAATTTCACAGACCAACATTTGTTTATCAACAGCGCAGTTTCCTGCGTAACTCTTAGATTAAAACTGGCATTTTCATCAGTTACTTTGTTTGTGACTGAAGGAAGTGACAAAGTCAGTAGTGATAAACCTACCAATGTGACTAGTGTTCATCCATGTTGGCAGTCCAGCACCAAATTGAAAAACTACTTTGCTTTCAATACAAAATGAAGTTGTGTAGGTGGTACGGTGATCATGTGACCATCGATTAAACCACGATGTCTCGTGACTGTTTAAAATCTGGCTATTCGTGGACGGTAACGCAACTATTTTGACAGTTTTCACCACCTTATTTTTCGTGTTTGACAATGTCTATAAAGTTGCTGCATCGGACAATGTGATGGGAATTTTAAAAAGGGGACTGAGCGCACTCTTCAGGGAACAGATTAGGCGTTTTTTTGCTACTGCTAATTCGAAGATCACGATTGCCGACAACTGTCAGGTATCGAAAGAAAAGATACATACTTGCAGCCAAATCAAAAAACTTGCTTTCTGGAGTACAAAATTGGACAAAAGTGACGCAATGCCCAACCAGAGTGTCTGTTCTGCAAAACAGGAAAGTGTATCAGAAAGTTCCAATTATCCAAGAGGGTCCTTAACAAAGAAAAATAATTCAGATATCTCTCTTAGTGACCAAGGGTTGGTAAAAATTAAAATGGATTTAAGTAGTAAACCCTCAGAATTAGGAGATGTGAAAAGGTCGCGCAATTCCAGTAGAGTTGACCATGCAAATTCCATCTCCAGTGATAGCCATCTAACTAGATTCTCAAAAAGAACCGTGCACACCAATCCTCTTAGTGACTCTATCAAAAGTTGCTCCGAAACGCATCAAGGATCCTTGCAATGCAAAAGCTGCTACCTAAAGGCAAATCAACAGGGACGTTCAAACACGGATACCAATTTGCGGTTGGAAAACGGCAAGCAACTGCTCTCTGGTAACAAACCCTACCGGAGCAGGTCACAAATGAGCACTGCTTATACAAAGTGCTATGGGAAGCCAAAATCACGAGTTGATTCCCATAAAGGGGCTTCCTCCAATAGTCAAAAGCACAAATTGCCAGAAAAAAAATTATTGGCAAGTGACAGACAAATAAATGCGACTCAGAACCATCAAACTAACGGCACTGTAAATAAAAGAGCTGGAAGTGGTGAAATTCGCAACGTTCGGCAGCCTGTCTTTCAAACTGCAAATGATAACTGGAATGGTACAACGGCCTCTGAAGAGCCCTCGCTAAAGGTTCCAAAAGGAAACTGCACAAAGTTAAGTCAAAAAAAATCCCAGGCAAAGGTTGTAAAACCTGGACTTAAATTCTACAAAAGTGACCAGATAAATGCAGCCGAATCACAGCAAACACAGCACATTTCAAGAAACGAATTGGAAATCAATTTTGGGCAAAGCTCTGATACGGTTTGTAAGTTCATACTTCTGAAAGAAAAAATGAGTAGGTGTGAGGTAAAAGACATTGAATTGTTTTGTTCCGACTTAAAATGCATGTTTATTATAAATGCAAAGGTGACAGGCTTTCTTGGAGTGCGTATCTCAGCACTGTTTAAAGGATGGACTGACTATTTTGAATCAGAGGCCTAAGTATTATATCGTATCAAAAACATACGGTAGCTGTTTGTGAAAAAATAATTTGAGGGACATTGCTGAGTCTTCACTTTTAGCTAGTTTTATCAAGATTTGCTTGAAGCTATGACTTGTGGAAAGTAAAGTACATACGCGTCACCGCCTTCTAATTAAGTGTAGAGTAATTCGGTCAATGTGCATAAAAATTAATCAAGTGAGACCAATAAACAGACCACCTAAATGGAACCGTCTTCACTAATTTGCCACCACACATTTTGCGTATCCGATGCGGATTCAGTTATTTAAAATGGCTGAATTCGAGTTCGTCTTAATGCTTTGATAAATTAGTGGAGTCATTAGGCTAGAGCGGAAAGCATGTCAATTTGAGAATTTCCTTGAGCAGCAAATTTTCATGCTGACTGCCACACATGCCTTGACAGCGAAAAAGTATGAAACAGGCTGGATGAATAAACTCAGAGACCAATACTTCGTGAAGTCTATAGTGCTAGTGGCTGGACCGCAGTGGATCATTTAGTTAAGAGGCATCGCAGTATTATTAATTTATAATGCTGCAACATTGAAGACCTGAATGTATTGAGGTGGCACTAAAGTACAACTGAGGGGTGGTGGTCTGATAATAAGTTTGTGAATATAAATACTTACCATATACACAAACCTGGTTAAGATGTGCTGTCAAAATAGAAATTCAAGAAGACCAAACCGAAACGGTACTAAAGTCACGAGCTTCTTAGACTAAACTCTGCAGTCATTAAAGTGAAATGATTTTTTTTCTTGATTTTCGAAATGGTTTATGTAAAGTGGGTGAGGTCCATAATTTTTTAGAGGACAACTTTATCCTTATTGAAAGGAAAGGTTATCTTCCAATTCAATCTGTGAAATTCACGTAATTCAATTTTTTATGATGGGTGAAGAATACTATTAGGCGGCCTTTGACAGTTCAGTTTTAAATTTCTCTTTTTTTGAGCAATTTTACCTGGTGCGAGTCAATCAGATCGAGCAGCTGAGCACCTAACATCCCCTCAAGAGCCACCAGGCATTACACTTCAAGCCTCACTCCCGCATCCTGAAATCGAGGAAAATCTTACCCACTCAGAGGAAGCCAAGAGTTCGCCACAAAAAGTCCCAGACACAAATACTGATTGCCCACCAAACGCCATCACTAGTATTTGCCCAAGTGGTACCCATGAAATTACCTCCAAGGACATGAGCTGCGCCTGCATGCAGTTGGAGAAAATGACGGCTCTTCAAGCGGACCAGGTGCTCTACGAGTGGCATTCAACTAGACAAGAGATGTTAGATGGTAAGGTGGTGTTAGATGAAGGCACGAGAACTCCTCTTGACGAATACGTGGCTATGAAACCGACAAAAATCATTACTGGTGGTCAGGGTACGGTGGCTTGGGTGCAAAACCCAAAAACATCAATGCAGTATGCACTCAAATTCAAGGCAAGGCAAGATATCAATGACAAAAACTGGAAGATTGAGCGAAGAGAAGCGAAGATTCTTAAAAAATTAGAACATCCTTTTGTTGTGAAGTAAGTGTATGATTGAAAGCACACAAAGAAATAGCTCACCTCTACTCATTCCGTGCAATTCCTGTTTACTAGCTAAAGTACGCATGGAGTTAATTTTGTAGCCTATCGGATCCAACAAAAATGTTGTTTTGGAAACAGTTCTCATCCAAAAACATAAGTTGCATTTTGTAACAGTTGTCAAACATTTTTTAATGGGCATATTTTAAACAAAGCTCAATTGTCTCGCTGTTCAAGTTCACCGTGAGCTAAGTTATTATTTGCCGTAAGCTTTTTTCTTACCTACATGTCACAGTCCGAGCTTGAATTTTGCTTAATTGAGTTCAAATGTAAACTTTCAGCCGCGATCTTCCACGTATTCGATTAGTGCCTGGCTTAGCAAATAATATGAAACCAAAGTATAATATTGGTATCTAAGAGACTTCGTTCATTGGTGTGTTGTTTGTTCTCTGCACATAGGTGCAAAACTTACACAACAATATCAAAAGCTTACTCTGTAGTACTTGTTTGTATTTTCGTGATAATTAGAATGTTTTAAACCTAAATTAAAAAGTCACGTAAATGATGGTGGTCTGCAAAATTTAAGGCGCAAGCAGAAAGAGTCAAAAATTCTCTCCTCGTAAACATTAAATTGACCAAATATTCCTTTCATTAGCCATTAGCGCATATATCACCCATTCAAGTACTGACGGTATTGTAAGTCTGAAGTTAATATATATGATAATTTACCACGATTTTGGAGAAAATTATCACAACTAACCTTAGGTCAATTTACCATAATTTGCCTCTGGCTACACCAAATTATGTTAATATTCTAAAATAATCTTACACTGGCTTCAACCAATTTTGCAGGCTTACTACTGTAGACACGCAAAAGTTTAAAGTCTAAGCATAAATTCGAAGTTTATTACGTGCCATTCAGTAATAAAACGCCCGTCATCAGTGCCTGCCATTTGAACCATAAAAAGGATTAACTGGGCAGTCGGTAATCTCGTTAATCTTTAACAGAGATCTGGCAGTTAACAATGCCTAGTGTAGTACAACGTAGTGTGATGCGATCAATTTAAACGTAGGAAGTGGAATTTTGGAGATGTGTGGGCCAAATTACAATCAGATCAAGAAATGGGAGGTTAAAATGCACGAGGAGAGATAGTAGGTGTTAATCAAACGGATCGGTACAAGGAGACTGTAATTTTAAGGCCCACTTAACTTTTGATTAGAAATAAGTCCAACGACCATTCAAGCGACGCAGGTTAGCCAGCTACGTGCCCCCCTATGCGCTGTTTTAGTTTTGGGCTAGTTTATTTGCAAAAATGTTAAATAAGTCAATAGCTTCTGAATAGTTTCAGGCTATGCAAACCCTAAGATCATGTTATGGAATGCATAATGAATACCTTGCGACATTCCGTTACTTGCTCAAACTCATGTGCTTAAAAATCAAGCTGTCTGTATGTTAATTAACAAGGTGATATAAAATTGCAGCAGGTGAACATAAATTCCTTGCTTCCACATTGCGTTAGGTTACTCGAAAATTCTGTTTGCTCTGGATTTTGCCATTTCCTCGCCTTAAATTCAAACATTTTGCTCTAATGATAAGTCGGTTTATTCGGTATGCTACTTTACCGTAACCATTTGTTATTGCAACATTTAGAACTTAATCTGATTTTTGGGTAGATCACAGTTTTGGTTTTACTTACAAAAGTTTTTAAAAGCATTTGGTGTAAACGAATGTTTATATCAACTTATTTTAGCTACATGCTCTCCCGTGTACTAAAGCATTGCAAGATTGAAACTAAAGTGAATTTGAAGTAAGCATTGCAAATGGCGCTGCTTTCTTTTCTGAGCCAAGTTTTGCCAAATGTTAATATATTTTTTCTGCTAGACTGTAGCAAGTACCGAAAGTTTTGTGTGTCATGAATAAGAAATGCTCTGGCATATTTTGGATTAAGGGTGTCGACACGTCCCTCTTATTTTCATTTAGCGCTTATCATATGTATGAAACAGGCACTGCTCTCTTCATGTTATTTGAATACCTAAGTGGTGGATGCCTTTGGAACCACATTGCCCGAATCGGAACTCTTCCAGAATGCTACGTGACCTACTATGCCGCCTGCATTCTAACAGGCCTTTGTTACCTACACAAGAGAGGCATTATTTATAGGTGAGTGTATCGCTAACAACCCATATGCTTGCGTCTGTTTAGCAAACTTATTTTCACATCTGGAAAATCTTATTAAGAAGACAGCTTCAAAATATGTTTCATTGACAAAACAAGAAAAACATCGCCCATTGTGCCTTTATTATTTATCATAATGTAAATTACCTAAAGTGGTTTTTCACACATTAAAATTCTAATACACTGAGGTAAAACTGCACATTATTGTTTCGAAGATTTTCTAAAAAATCCAATTTCCAGACTGTCACAGCCAATGCCATTATGTTCTTAGTTCTCGTAAGAGAAACTGAATCTTTTCACAAGTAGCACTCACTAGATTACGAATATCATGAAATTTTAACTCATTTATACCAAAGTGATAAATGCAAGAGTAGAAGCTGCATTTGAAAACTTGTTTAAAATATACCATAATCTGCCTCTTCACCTCCTCCTTTGACAAGAATATACATGATTGGGCGTAGCCGCAGTTGTGCTCTACCGGGAAGCGTACGCAATGTCACGTATTCCCAACAGAGACTGCACTCCGTATTTCTCTGTGAGTTCCTGTGAATCAACGCATGCGCGCTCTGCTGCAAATTAATCACTGCGGTATTTGAGTAAAGTGGAATGCAACTTTCAGCAAAATGCAGTCAGTTAATGTTTCGGTGGTGTCGTCGCTTTCAAATGCACAATCCGAGCACTAGATGTGACCAGTGACAAGCTTCCCTCCGAGACTGAGATTTTGCTGTAGTGGTAAGCAGGACATGGCGCTGAGACGTCAGGTCGTGTAAGAAGGTCATTTGTGGACGTGCGTCACAGGGACTATCGTTACTCAGTTACTAGCAATTGCACGGCGGTTATTTTGCTGTGCACTGTGGTAATGGAAATTAAAAAAAACGCACAGCAGTATTACGATGGGGGAGTAAGAAAGACGACGTGACAAATGTCATGCCTAGCAAGTAAAATGTGAAGGCACCAAATGTGACAGTTGAATCCCCCTGAGCACATGAGTGCGTAGTTTGTGCTACTGCCGTCAAACAATGACCGCGAGTCAACAACCACCCGGGACGACAGGTTGTTTGTGCGCTTTGACTCTGCCCGCCAACCAGACGGTTGTAGCATTGCGAATTCACATCATCATTGACCAATTAATGACTGCCAAAGCCTTTGCAGTGTGTTAGGTTGCTTCTCCTACCGTAGAATTGAGAAGCTGGCAAAGGTAGGGGAAAAACTGGACCACTTTGTGCATAGTGGCATGTTTTGACTACGCACCACTTTTTCAGACATGGTGTTGATTGGGGTGGGTTGGTCTTGGTGAAGGTCAATGGGCGAAAATGAAATTCTTGCTAGTACGAACAGAGAGGAGGACAAATGTGAACTAATGGAGTGGCTGCCTCAAATTATTAGCCCCGCAGTGAAGAGCTGCGGTAAACCTGAAAGAATATTGGCAGAAAAGACACCACATGTTAGAAAGGAATTGCGTAAATAATTGACGAGGTTTCTTTGTGAGACAGAGCAACTGGCTGTGTCCTGCAAGTCAATTGAACGAAGGCTTTGGGTGTCAAAAAGCTATCGGTAGTCGAGACAAGCAGTTTGATGTCGGGAATGCGCTATATTTGAAGTTTCCAAGTGAACGAGTATTCAGCAAATAAGCTTTTGACGTCGGCTAACGCTGGATTTCTATCTCTGTGGGGAAACCATGTGTTATTGCTACATTCAAATGAGTTGACTTTGAAGATCGGTGATTGAAAGTGAAAAGATTTGATGTCTTGAATAAGCCATGAATGGTGAAGCCTGAGTATCACTGCTGATGTAAATTTTTTTATGAAAATTAACTATGATCATTATAACATCACACGCATTTTACAATGCCAACTTTTGAATTTTATTCTGAGAACTCTTAGCTTGGTCTGGGCTTTCAGAAGTATTGTTTTAGCCCGGTAGGGTTTTATCAACGCATCGAAGGCTGGTCTTCGTGACATAGTTGGAGTACGTTCAAATTAATTATTTATGTTTCAGATTTTCCTTTGCACAAGACAGATAGTGTCGAAAATCCATTTTTGGAGTAGAAAATGTCTACTTTGGCTTTTATTTATGCGCTGATTCATTCATTTCCATTTTGACTTACTTTAATCCTTATCTTGTTCTAAACTTGGTTTATTCCATAAAAATAACTAGGATGCTCAGCAAATTCCAGCCTGTTATTTAGCGCTTATTTGGCAATATTTCTGAATAATCTGAAAACGTTTACTTTTCCGAGTCAAATGACATTATTGTGGGAATAGATGTGACTGGTTTTCAGTGGTATGGCTATGGCTTTAGGCAAAATATGCAGGATTTATTGATTACAAAACATAATTTTTGTAAATCTATATGAATTTGCTGTACTTGATTTCCCCTTGAATTAATCGTCACATTAAATTGTAAAAACATTTCTGACAGTCGACTTTTGTACAAAACCAGAAGTCGGCTATTACCTAGTTCTTTTTTAAAGTGAGGAGTCACATACAAAAGTGCTTTTGATCTACACTTTGGACTGTATGTTATGTTAAAATCTGTGATGGTTTTATCGCCATTGCATGTTTATCTATCTTTTAATAACAGGTTGACTTTGAAGTGGCAAACAGTTTTCTATGGCACTAGATCAAAAGCCGTAACTAATAGGGCTTTGAGATTTCCTCTGCACTGTTAAATCAACCAAAGAATTGACGTGCAGCACCGTGAAAATGTTTAATTGGCCTTGAAATGTTATCCTATTAGCTTGAGCAAATTGTAAACGATATGCAAATTATTCATCACACGCAAGAGAAAGGTGTTTTTCTTTCGCATTAAAGTTAAAAAAAGGATTTACTCTCGGCAATTCTGCTAACATCTAGAAACGATACGTATGGCAACGTAATTATTGTTGTGCTTTACCAAGCGGCATTATCAATTGGCGTGTTCAGGCAAGGCTTGCGTGTGTCAGTTAAAGTCGCCGAATGAAGAGTGAACGAGAAAGCAATCGAGCAGAGCAACACGTCCAGTTATTGCAAAGGAGTCCGTGTTTGTTTCTTTTTGTTCATAAAAACATCCTGTAAGCACACATACTTTTTTTCCAACTGTCATATTATGGAATATTATCTGTGCATAATTAAGTTTGAGAGATGTGTGACTTAGTGGAATTAAGTACTAGACGTAATGCTAAGGCAGAGTACGTCACATTAACTTGAAATGTTTTTGTGTTTACCTTCATGCATTTTTTTAGAATTTGACCATGGTCACCCTAGAGGCTTTAATCATGTTAGTAGTAACATTTGTTGATTAGGTAAAGCACACTTAACTGGATAGGGTTTTTGTAAAAAAGCAATTTTGCGTCAAAAAAAAATAAAAAACGTAAATTTCGTAAGCTGTTCTGGGGGATATATAAGTGCGTTAAAAATAAAAAAGAGTTTATAATTACTTTTAAAGAACTCAGATGTTTAAAATGGAGAAGCAATTCAGTTAATCACATGTCCCATAATTCATTATTCTAAACAAACTTTAATAAAACGGAATGTTGCTGTTTTCTAGTTGCTGTCAAGTGATAATGTGCCATTTTTAAGCGCAAATACAACGTCAGGTGACCAGGTTGAGCTGGGGATCACATTTTGACCACCAGTCCTTATGATGATCCTGTTAAGGTACGCAGAAACCCCAGAAGAATATGAAGACCAAAGATGGGTTAAAAGCGACCACGGTCATCAGAGAATCAGCGCTTTGGCGGACTTCTGTGGGTCATATTGTTAAGTGAATAGCAGGGTGGCTCAGCCGAATGTATGTTCTTGTAAAGCCTCTTAGGGTGAACAAAGAAATGCACTCCTTGCTGTTTGTTTATTTATGCACAAGACTGTGCATTGAGGCGCCGAGTCGAAATCCCACATGTGGTTCTGTGACGTCTGAAGTGAAACAGCACATTTTTGTTTGTCCCTAAATTTGTAACATAAAAAAGAGTTTTAAAATTGCTCTTAGTAAACACCTGCCGGCTCCTAGCTCATCTAAATTCAATTTTCAAAGTCCTTTTTCGTAGAATTTAAAGACATTAATTTTTTCAATTTTCTTGTACCATTAAATCGCGAGACTTCTCTGCCAAATTTCTCTATATTTGTGGGATTTAAAAAGCAAATTAAAAGCCGACCCGCCTGACACGCTTCTAGGTGTTGGAGTCATTGTAGAAGTTGGTACTATCAAAAATGTACATTTAATTCCTGGTGTATTAAATGTTTGAGAGAAAACCAATTAAATTTTATCTAATAGTTCTGCTAAAGACCTGCCAATGTGTTGTTTTGATGACTCACAAATAAGAAAGGATGATTGCAAGTGATTACTATTTCAAAATTATAGTCCTGTGACGTGCTTTTGTGTCACCTTTCAAAATTACAGAATGGAAAATGCTCGTACACGATTGTATCTTCGATTGATAGGCTTGAATTGTGTATTGCTAAAACAGTGTGTTTTTGTTCGATTTGTAGTTTACTGCCATCAGGTGTACCCCAAGAAGACACTTGTAGTAAGTAGCTTTCTTGTTTTCTCAGCTTTTAAAATCGGCTGGGACGGATTTCTATCGTACTTCAACTTTTATTTTTACTAATATTTGATGAGTAGAAAGGTGATGATAATCAGAATTTAAATTCGTTCATGCACCACTCGCAATTGAACCTCAGTTTGTATTATTCCTTTGATAGTTCATTACATGCAGTAACTATTGGTATTTTAATCAGCATTTAACTAGGGTCCAATAAGTACAACTAGAACGATCAGTCCAATAATATGGGACTTTGGGTTTAAGTAGTACTTAATACTTCAATTAATTTTATTTAGAAGAACGACTGAACCCGCGGCCATTCCAAGACGGTTTGCTTGAATTTGAGCAGCCTTTGGAAAACCAGACTATTTACCTCGATCCAAATAGCAGAGAGCCTTCGCACTTTCATTTGTCTTGTCGCCTCACACAAGGGGAAAGACGAGCCCAAGTGAGCTGGTTCTACAATGACACACACCGGCTTCCCCTGGCACAGTTTAACACATCATTTGATGGCAGGACAGCACACCTCACTGCTAAAGGTCTCAAATCCGAATACTCGGGCAGTTACGCTTGCGAAATAAGGCTGCCCTGTGGTTCATCAATGGCATACACCCAGTGTGAGATAACCATTTTGGAAACTGCAAATTTGAGTAAGTTTTAATAAAAGAAATATGTGCATTTACCTACATTAAGCTAAAGGTTTTCATCATGGTTTATTAGACTCAAAATATACAGACAGAACACTCTATGCCTTACACGTTTTAAATGTTATAGTTAAATTTTACGAAATGTCGAATTTTGTTAATTTCATTTGAGCATACAGAATTTGAAGAAAATCACTGAGCAGGATCATCCCACTGCAGACCCAAATTAAGCTCATAAATTACAAATACAATTCAGTCTCTGGCTTTAATCCAGCAAGTAAAGTGAATACAGCACCAACTCCGCATATTTCTGAAAGAAGTAGTTGCTAAAAGAAGATATTCGTGCGTCCTTAATCGTTAAAGCCCCATAGGTAATGCATGCCAATAAGATCTTTGTAATTCATTTTGTGTTTTGTTTTGCAGATGATACTCAGCCTGTGATATGCGTTGACAAGCCAGACCTTCCCACGCCCCCCTACCCCGGCGCAATCTGCGGGGGGCCTCAGGTTCCCAAAAACTCCTCCGGAAGTCGCGATCCAAAGCCCATTTCAGGAAGTTGTCATCGCGATGCCAGGCCCGGGTTAGTGAGCACAGTGGAATAAAAGAAGGCAATTTTAAATTTTGCGTAAATTTATGATCTGTCAATCAACGAAATGGTATCGTTCAAGTGGCAAATGTCAACCCAATCACTTCGACAGAAATGTCATGTAGAGTAACGCTATTTTACAAAAGTTAAATATTAGTGGTCGACTGGGATTTGTCATAGATTAGCTTAGGTAAAAAAAGGGTATCAGTCATTCGCAGCCACTCTCAAATTGCACGGACTATGTAGGTAGCTTTAGAGAAAAACTCATTTTATTGCGAGATGCCCATGTGCTTAGCACAAATTGAATTCTCTCTTGTGCATCAAAATACTCATTTAATTGACGTGACTGACCATAGTTTAACATGCATTTCGTGACTTACCCTGGATCCAAGCGGAAATGATAATTTAGCAAGGACTCGAATTCATTTGGATTGGCCCTGACACTAAAATCGCGTGCACCCCACTTCGCACTGCCTGTGAGGACATTCACCTGCACGTCGCAGGAACCTTGTCTAACCTCCTTTTTCAGTATGACCTCCTTAAATCGTCTAAAGTGGGTGGGGCCGCGTCCGACCCCGACTGGTCCCCCTCCGGACGCACACTCCTCGCACCCCACACTGCGATGCCTGGAGGAAGCTGGCACAGATTTCGATGGTGAATTTACCTCATCAAGCGACAAATACTCCCTTCGGCAAAATTTACCTGTTAAGGTTAGCAAAACTACAAGCGCACTTCGCATACATTCTTGACCCTTAGGCACCAATTTGCCCTCTGAATTGTTTAAGCCTGACGCCCAATTTTCTGTAACATCTGGTAATTTAACCTATTCAAACATGTGGATAACTCAAAAGTTGTGATTCATCACATGAACGGAAAACGAGTCACTGCAAAAAATCAGTAGACATGCACACCGAGTCGTAGTAAAACAGACAACTATTCGAATTTTTGACCTTCAAACAGCAATATTTGAAGCTGAGGTAACCACAACACCAATTTTTTTTCTTCTCGTGGAGCCTAAATATATTGTCGGCAAAATTACCACACGAACGAGAAAATTCATGACATGCAGACCCTGACAGGTTTCGACACTATTTTTATGTTTACAAATTCCTCTTTTTGTTGATCCAACTTGGCTGAATTGCAATTAAAATTGTGGTTTTCTATTTATTCACATTGTGTCAACAGGATGCGTTAGGACAGAGTCAACGCCATCAATCAGTTTCAACACAGATCAAAAGTAATGCTTATACCACAGCAGAACAGATCGACCTCTGCACGATGATTGACGTCCCAGGTTTCTTTGCCGACGATCACGACGAAGACTCAGACGTCAACGATGCCTTCAAGGGCGGACTTCAAAGACGCAGTCAGGATACATCCCGCCGATGCTGCACCTCCACAGCTAACTGCCGCGACCACCGCCCAAGGCCACTGCCTCGAGTTATCTTCATTAATGCGACGCCCCAAGGGGAGATGCTGTATCGGGGTTGTTACTGCCACTGCCACCGCTATCACTGTATGTACGCTGGTGATAGGGAATATCCGGTTTTTGATGAAATTCAGCACATGCGAAGGGATTCATTCTCTAAAACTCTTAAAAGAGTCAATAAACAGATTTCATTTAACCCTGATCCAGAGTTGTGCTACGAAGAGGAGGCAGACAACGAGGAAGCAGGGTCCTTCTGCAGACTAGCCACAAGTCACATTCCCGAGAGACGTCTGCTTGGCCTCAACAAAATGGTGGATCAGCAAAGTAGCGAGTCATTTAGGTAGGTTTGGTCAAGTAACGTGTACATTCGCTTCCAAAATAGTTGATACCAATCAACCTCATAGACTATTTTAGTGGCATAGTACAAAACTGATCTCCATCACCATTGTAGCCTTTTCAAATAAACGTCAGCATGTGAGTAGGAAGTTGACGACAAAGCAATCGTTTGAATGTAAAATGGTTTTTAAAATCAATTTCAACAAATACAGGTTATTTGCCATTAAAGGAGTACTCAGTTAAGGAGATCACTCTAAGCTTTTCTCATCCGGACTAGTGTCATTTGTTTACTTTTTCCTATATCTAATGTGTCGTCAAACACTTTAAAACATGTGAGAAGGATAAAGTCGAATTCGTTTGTAGGCAACCAAGAAATAGTCCGAAATCGCAACCAAGCCCTTCTTCTTACACTACAACGCACGCAACCAGTGTGCCACAGCCGAACCGTCCACCTGACGCCAGTTGGCGTTCAGGTCCAAAAGACCATCTACCACAGGACAACGAAATCCAAAGCCCGGAGGCAGCCGCAGCTGCAAAGGAAGCTGTCAAAAGGATCCTAGAAGCGCGTTACGGGGATCCCAAGCGCCACGACCCGCCACCACCAATCCGCAAGGTGAAGCTCACTGTGATGCAAACCCAACCGACCACTCAATCAATCGCCACCACAGTTAACAAGCACCCAAATGCCCAAAAGTCATCTGACTTAACTCAAGTCACAACTCTACAAGAGGCAGCGGAGACTGAAGACACTTCGACGTGTAATAATCTCGAAAGGGCTGCAAAGGAACGTTTCATGAATGCCTTAGCGCGCTTTCAATCAAACGTCGGAGGGAACTCGGGTCAGTTTCTAGATAAGTTTGCAATAAGGACGAGACTTTCGTTCTAGTCAATGAGTGAAATCTCATTCCATTGTTTACTCTTTTTTTTAAGAAAACGAAGTGATTAAGCGGCTCGGTGAGCAAGGAGATGTGGTGAAAAACGAAGGTCCCTTGGAGTACACGCATGATGCAAACAGACGTTCGGACACCTTGGATGGGCGATCAGTCCAATCATGGGGAAGAAAATTCATGGGAAATATTTATGCAACCCATAATTCAAACCAAAGTGGGCATCAGCAAAGTCAGTTACCTAGGCATATACATGGTAAAGTTCTCAATTTTTATGATAACGTTTACTGCCTATCTTGCTATTTTGCAAAACTCCACTTGGTCTACCTCACATTAGAGCATACATTTGATTCATCTCGCTGCTAACTACAGCAAAAACTAAGGTCCGTTAATGGCAATATGTTCAAAGAGCCATAGCTTTGGATCGTATTTCCTAATAAATGTTTAGAATTCTCGATATTTTATGACTGTTTTTTTTTAATTTTTCACATCACTCGCTTCCAAATGACGCTGGAATGCTGAAAAGACGTTTGCCCGAACCGTGTGTTGAATTTAGTTCAACATGCAATCATGTGACAAAGCTTCACCCGCAAACATTTACTAACAGTAACGCGTGAAGTGAGGTTTATTGCAATTACACAAACACAATTTAGCAAATACTTTCTTTTGTAGATACTGATAAGGACGGAAAGAGTAGACCTGAAAATCAGCAGGAATGTTCAGCGGAAGTTGCAACTGCCTCAACAGAACCAGACCTTAAATACAGGTCATCGTGGCGAACCAAATCTAATGTCAACGTTCACCCGACTTCAAATTCCTCCGCTGCTTCGACTCAAATGATGAAGCCTACTTTCAATCGTCGGGACTCCGTGAATCCGGTGCACCAGGGACCCAGTCGATTTCACCTGCCTGATGAGCAGCAATGTTGCACACAAGACCTGACGATCAACGAGAATCAAAGCGGTAAATAGTGAAACAGTTCACATTCCTCTTCTGTAAGGATGGCAAACTTCGGTTGGAAAACGATTCTTTATTTGTCTAAACAGATTCGCAGTATTAAAAAAACAAATATGTTTGAACAAGAAAGAGGAAAATAATTAACGATATAAAAACAGATTCTCACGTTTTTAGAGCAATTTAGAGTACATGTAATTTTACAGCTAGATACTCAAAAAAACTTATGGTAAATCGGTTTTCAGAACACGATGTTTTGAAAAGAATGGTCACTTAATTGCTGGAGGTAACGTCACCGTGGTACTTAAGACTGCGTTTATTGTTGAACTTGATTTGATTTGCTTCTCCACAGCTATTTCTAATTGTAAAAGGGAGAAGCATGTATCATCGCAACTCAATCAGCGAACAGGACTCAAGCCAGTTGGATGAGACGGCGGACGCAGGGCCTGATGTCCACTCAATTTGTCAGCCAGCCAAATCTCCCCCCTTTGTTGGGCGAACGAGCAACACCGTCCTTCGGCAACGTGACGTTTCGTCCGTGAGACAAGAGGTCAGCGACGAAGGCCAGTCCAGGTGGCCGTCGAACACAACTCAGTGGCAGCCCAGACGCAGCAAAATCTTCCGTAACATCAGTCACGGCAGATCTCCTAGCGCGTCCAAACGTTTTTCAATGCGAGGTATCCAGCTTATGGTTCATGACTTTTAAGGGAAGCACTTATCGTCGGTGTGGAAATAGATCAGTTTACAATATTCAATCCTTACTTAGGTATCTTTAGCAGCCCGAGTGCCATATCTACATCTTCGCGATGAAGTTCGAGTTTCACTAAATGACTTTTGAAACGAATAATCAATTTAAGCTTAAATTGATTCTTCGACTTCTTGAATACCTATTTAACTCTTCTGGAAAGTAGTTTCCTGAGATTCTTGTCTGTGTGCTTTACTTTTCGAATTATAGAAGGTAGTGAGAGTGGTGATGTCATATCCTACCCGGATGCAGATGAAATAACCGACGTGTCTTTGAAATTCCCGACAGCCGTCATAACAGGCGGAGGAGACTCAACAATAATCACCGTTCAATGCTCGGATGGACGTAAGTGATCAAAATGAGATATAATCCAATATGCTGAAGTCAGTGACTTGTTCTAACTCGGAAACCGCCCTATTCTATGTGCGTATGTTAGTTACTGAAAAGGTATAATTTCTAAAAATTGCACTCTAACAAACACAATGAATTAGTATTTATCTGAAAATCAAAAGCGTGCTTAATTACCAGGTTACCCCCGAATTCCTGTCACTTCCACGTACGTCAAAAACAACCGAAGCACGAATTGTTGGTAGAATAGAAGTTTAATGTGCAACCTAGCTAGAAAAGCAACACGATGTTTTATTCGATGATGCTGATTAGGGACTTTTTCAGGTGTACATTAGTAAATGCACATGATAACAGTACAAGTAGGCTATTCATTGGTTAGCATTAGCAGGTCATGACTCAAGCCTGACAACAATCAGCCGTTGACTTGTGTTACAAGTCATCAAAAGATCATCTCGATGTGTTGGTATCGGGGAAAGTGGTTAACCAAGGCCAAGAATTCATTTATCCTCCAGGCAGTTTGAGTTGCGCTATTTTTTTTAATTCGATCGTATCAAACACAAATGGCTTTAAAGTGTGGGCGGAAGGGGGAGAAGCCAGTTGGCATGACCTTAAAGGGGACGTGTGACAAGAGGGACAAATACGCCAATCTGATCATCTAGTCATCCTTGTAATCATGACCTCGAGCATGTCACGTGTGATCAGAATTAACCCAGTTGGCATGATTGTTGGCTAAGGCCCAAATGATTGAAACCTATTTGCACAAAAGAAATTTATACATAAATACACCCCGTGCTGGTGAGGAGGGTTTTTCAATATTATTTCAAATAGTAAAAACATTTCTTTTTCAGCTCACGACCCGCTTACATATTTGAATGACCACTTTCGGTAAGCTGTCAAATTTAAACGGTCCCATTTATTCACTCAATGAGTACTTACTTTTGACCCTTTTCAACGGTACACTTTCTTTAAGGTAAGGCTACATTATTTAAAAAAAAAACAATTTCACCCTAAATTTTCGCTTTTTGTGCTTACGAAGATGACGATGGACGCAAGAATAAAAACGGCAATATGCTTGGCTGCGATCGTGCGTTTTATGGGCTAAAATAAGTGTGCACAGAGTCATCACTTTATGTGGTTTATGGAGTTCAAATTGCAAAGTGATTGCAAAATAGCTTAAGCGAGAAGTACGTTTTACTCCATTATCTGCCTACAATGTTAGAGTGGAGCTGAATTAGGCGGCTCCCTTACTAAGAGTTGGTTGTCATCGTAGTATTTTCTAATTGTATATGTCTAGTTGTTTTTTTTAGGAAATACACAAACACACCCCTCAATCTGCTGGAAATGAAAAACGTTGTTCTTCAATTCGTACAAATGAACACCCACGAATACTTAAAATATGTAGGTTGTTTGCACTTATGCGAGCACTTGACAGCAGAGCCGACATTGACTCACGGCATTGTAAACAAGAGCAAGCACAGAAATTATCGTTGCATTCACCCAAATTGAAATAATTGACGGTGTTTCCGCTTTTGGCGTACGTTTCTGCCACAGTTGGATACATTAATGCTGTCGACGAAGAATGAGCCAAATAGAAGTGGCATCTTGAAACGTGCGCGCTAAATATGACGTAACTGTGCAGCCGACGTGTTGTCTACGTTAAATGTCGTTCAAGGCACATCCACAAGAACTTTTTACCGTCCAGAAAGACACCACGTTTTTAATCATTTCTAAAGTGCTGATGAAGAATTAGAGAACCAAACCCCATTTAGAAACCGGTGACGTAATTAAAACAAGATCGACAAGGTAAGGGCTATAATACAACGACAGAAAAAATCTACAAAATGTTACACGAATATGCTATGACACACACAGGATCATCTATAAAAATTGAAATTAATCGTAAATCGCTCCGCGAAAATCAGTTTAGGTACAAGTAGGCATCGGCAAACATTACATGCAACACATGCGATTTTAGCACAGTCGGCCAACGTCATCCCATGCTCACGCTGCAATTCAAGGGAAGGGTGCAAGGGTTAATTATATCATGGAAAAATAAGCTTGTAAAATCGGTTTTCGCAAATTGATGTCGCTATGTTTTGTTGAAAGACTCCCGTCGATGTCATGCTTTTTATGATGCGTCTAATTTTTGTTACTCTGACCATAATTTAGTGTTTATTCCAGCAGAGGTCTGAAAGCCTAAAGTTTAAAGACATGTACACTGTCAACGTGCAATGTTAAGCTTGAGGTGTCGATTACTTCCCAAAAGTAGGCATCAGAACTAATTCGAAAATTTCCCACTCTGGAAGTTTTTTCTAAACATGAACAAAAGACTTTCTTCAAAGTTCTGGATGTAGTTGACAAGTTGGTCTTACAATTTATTTATTTGCACTAAACCGTTGTCGATGTTGTACCCGAATGCCCCAATTCACGAAAGTCAAATGCCCTAGCCGACAGGGATCTAATCCTCAAACGGAAAAATAAATTATTCATGTTTTCACAACGCAAATTGAAGGAAACTTGTTAACACACAGATTCATCATCGATTAACCCTAACTACGTAGCTAATATTTCACTGAATTATGGCTGACATTTTTTTCCTTTTTAAGGTATGCTGAAACCATACCGTAAAAGAAAAATAACATGCCTATTGTAGAGGGAGTCGGCACTGAATACGCTACCACCGCATTAGTCATTTCGTATTTTTCAGGGCGTTAAGGTGACAAATTTTTCAACGTCCTGGACAGACGGTACTGCGATTTGCGCGCTTGTGCACCACTTTTTCCCCAACTCCTTCGACTTCCAAGCTGTCCTCTCGGGAAACAAAGTGGATAACTATCGGCTTGCAATGCAAACAGCCGCGTGAGTTTTTTTTCCTAGCCAGAGGTTTAGTTATGGTTATCGCCCCATCAACGCACTTTGACTGATCTTGATGAAATAACACCTCGTCGAAACAGACGACAAAGCGATTAAGACCACGCCAATGGCCAGATCTAGGTTTAATGATGTAAATAGACGTAATTTGTGGCCTCTGATGCTAAACGCGCTATTTCATCAAAATCGGTTGATTCAAAAAACCATCAGCAAACTATCCTTGACCGACTTTCAACTCCTATTGCGCATCTCTGGAATTTAGATTTTAATTTAATAAACTACTGAGGGCAGATAAACACAATAGGGGAAGCGATGTTTTTACCCTCCGACAAAAAATAACACTAAATAGCTAGGTCTCAACTGCGAAGAGGGACTAACCAGCACTGCCTACTTAAAAAATCAGATTCAAATGAAAATAAACTGTAGATTAAAAACCACAAAGTGGTGCTAACTATGGGAACATGAATTGATTTTTAAGCTAACCTTTATCGACTGAAGGCGGTGTAGCACGAGATTTCAGTTTGATAACACACAATTACATGCACCCTTTTACAGGGAAGTGGCCAACGTCCCGAACCTGGTGGACGCTGAGGAGCTATCAAGGAACGGAGTAGCACCCGACTGGAGGAAGATTTTTCTGTACCTTAGCGGTTTCCTGGTCACGCTTGAGGGCCACCCTTTAAACAGAGCCAAGCTATCCACACTAATTCGCACAAGCCCTAGATAGTGCTGAAACTGATTAAGTCTTTCGTGGTGTGTACATAGTATGTATTCCCCAAATATAGTAACAAATAGAACAAGTGCATTGAGGAGGGAGCCGAGTTGGATTCTGCTCAGCGAGTGGTTAAACGCACATTCGCAACAAGTGATGGGACCACATGACTTCCTCACTAAGCGAGCCTCACATCTGGTAACGAAGTTCAAGCCCCCCCCCCCCAGAGCGTTTCTTCGGCGATTAACAGCCAGATTGCATCATATGGCTTAGAGGTTTGAAGCGTGGCACCTCACTAGTCGCACTGTAGCAACAACGGATAAGGGCGTCGCAATTCACTAAATGTGACGCAAAAGATGACGAGTAAACGATAAACGACGGTTTAGGCAACGCCGAAGAGGATGGAACAGGCTTGAAGACAGTGGGACATATATTTACAAACATCGTCAGGAATAAAGGATGTGTAGGTGGAAATGCTTCCAGTGTTGATGTGGAGATTCAGGCACGGACTGATGAATGAATCTGTATGTGCCGTTATACAGTGAGAGCGAATAAATCGAGAGAGTTCAATAACCATCATAATAATGGCATATTAAAAATAGTAGAACATCGGTAGAAGCAGGCGCAGTAGTGAAAACGATAGCTTGATACATAAGTGGAGGGGGGTGCAATTGCACCTTAGAAGAGGCAGAATATTCAATTTATGGGGACAATTTCACGTCCACAAGAAGATTACAAATGCTGCCGTGCTCAAGTGTTACCATTTGGATGAGGGTGGGTGTAACAGATTAGGTTCGATCATCTGGCGTTTTGATTCGTTTAACTGGAGATGCGTAGGACCTAAAACTCCCAAAAATGCCTGATTGATGGAAATGAGATTTTGGGCAGTGAACTAAATAAGCCGCAAGTTCTTTGGGCGGAATTTGCAAGCTCTTCGACATTTCGAAAAGCAATTTGGTGAATATTTTGATTCAAAGGTCAAATATGCCACTTTGAGTGATGACATATTCGCGTTACGCAACGAAGTGCGGCTGTTCTAAGAAACGACAGAGGGAAAGGTAGTAATTAAGCCACCTTCTTCAGTCGGTCAAAATAGCCTGTATGTTTAGTCTTTGCTAAAAACAATCGGGCTATCAGAAACATCTACAGAAGACAGATTACAATTCCCACTACGATGTTCGATGTGTTACTAGACAGAAAACTGAAACGGTGGAGGAGTGGTGAGAAGGATTCTATGGCATAATCAGATCATAAATATGCAACTAAAATTGGTGCTAAGATGAAGACATTAATGAGGATTAAGCTACCCGTCAGCGGATTCAGCAAGGTGAAGGGCCTCGGCGGAGGGCGTTTTCTTCAAGCTCGCCGATGGTGGGGAGGTGCCCCCACAGGGAGCATCGGGCAACGGGGCTCCGACCGATGCTCCTTGTCCAGGCGTGTGCGATTCCTGAAGCCAACGGACCTGCGTGGCCGGTCCGTAACCCTTTTCATTGCAAGCGGCAATGCGGAAAATGACCGCAGGCTTAGAACTCACGTCCAAGTGAGCCTTGGAGAGAACCGAGTGTCCGACCAAGGCGCTTGGAGAAGGACCCGCGTATACTCGCACAAATGCCATACCTGAAGGAACTGTTCCCATCTGAAAACCGGTGACGTGATTAAAACATGATCAACAAGGTAAGGGCTATAACGCAACTACTAAAAAAATTTACAAAATGTTACACAAATACTCTATAACACAAACGGGATTATCTAAAAAAGGTGAAATTTAGGTACAAGTAAGCATCGGCAAGCATTACTTGCATCACGGAGTTTACGACAGTCTCGGTTGAATTAAAATTCTCACAAGACAAAAGCTGTACCTAACAGCTCGGCAAGAGTGGCAAGCTATCAGTCAAAAAATTAAAGTGAAGTATGCCGATTGGGTGGGGCAACAACGCCTTCAAGAGAGAAAAGAAAGTGATGTAGTTTCCGTCACTTGCCTTTGTCTCTGGCAGTTCCTTTCCGCTACCGGGCTGCGCTCTAACGGCCAAATAGACGGAGTACTCGATGATGCGGCCAGCCGTATTTTGAGGGGGCTCCCAAGTGAGTTGCGCGCCCTGTTCATTGGTGGTGATTTTGATGGCACTAGGAGCACCAGGAAAGCCTGGTAGACAGGTTTTGAAAGCAGAGATTTCAGACCACGGGCCACGGCCACAGGCATTCAGGCCAGCAACACGAAATTTGTAGGCTGTGCCGGGGGCGAGAGAGATTTTAGGGCCCTGTGGAGGAATACCGTTTGGACCGATTCCGTTGGGGCCTTGTAGAGCATCAATAGCCTATGATGAAAACCAAGCTTCAAATTTACTCTCCAGGCGAACATTTTTGAAGTAATCACCAAGGCGGTAGTCTGTGGTTGAACCATACGATTTAATCCCGCGCTCGAAATTGCACTTACCTCAACGCTGATGCCAGCGTCATTTGTGTGCGCAGAATACATAGTGACGGAAAATTTTGGTAGTTTAATGACTCCAACGTCATGCCACGAACAGTCGCTTCTGGTAGTCATCGCCACGTTAGAGGGAGGGTTCGTTTGTATCAACTGTGGTCCCCCAGTGGATGCAGTTGGTCCCATCACGGGCGTCGACAATCGTGGCAGAAAAGTTACCTTTGACTGAGACGGCGGAACTGCAGCGGTCATGCCGGCTGAGCGCATCGACTGTTGCTGGAGTTTTTTGGAGTTTTCGAGCAAGGAATCCACCGCAGTCTGACTCTCGTCGCCTATATCGGAAACAGATAAATGAAATCACTTGACCCTGTCAATAAGGCCACAATAAACAATTATTTTACTTTGATTTAGTTACTTAGACGTTTGATGTGGTATACGTCACGACTTAGCAAGCCGATGATGATTATTTGAAACCCATCGACTTACTTCCATCGCATATGAGGAGTGAAAAACAAGGATCAAAATCAGCACCTTGTAAATGAAAAACACGTACTTTCGGTGTCGTTCCCTCGTCTGGTCGCAACAGAGGCAAGAGTCGCCAGTGGGTCACCAGTCTTTAAGGGAGCAGACAGCTCTGTTTTGTTGACGCCTATTCCTTGGAAACCTAAAGTGGAAGAGGCAGGAATGGAAGATTGCCGATACTTAGTCCGACGAGTTATGTATTCTCCGTAGTATTTTGAAGTATTGACATGCAATAGTTCGGTACAAAAAGGTATGAACAAATCGCAAGTGTTGGATTTTGTCTAGGTATAGTAGCTTGATGCTTGGAGTCCACGACTAATAAAACCAAATTGACGCGCTTCCAAACCTGAGAATCAAAACTGTAACCAGCAATTAACTTGACGAATGCAAGAAACCAGATGCCTTAACACAATCTTCGAAAAAGAGAGCCGAGCGACTTTTGACACTAACTCGATTCATAATTTTTGCTAGCTAAATGATCTCTAAGAGCGGAGTCAGAAGCATCAGACGTTCAGACTCACCTTCGACCTGTGACTTGCTAAAACAAGCGAAAGAAGCGACCGGGATAACCCAACAGAATTATTGAACAACACTCTGACCGATGACTGAATGACGATAATAATTGCATAGTGGAGAAGAGTAAAAGGGAGTCTGTCGAACTTGATGAGCACTCAAGTGGGGATTAAAAGCGTAGTGTTGTACCAGAACAGTCACTTTGTAGCAACTATATTGCAATATTGCTTTTCTAATGTCCGAGACCAACCTTTTCCCGAAGACGGATACCACTTAAATTGTGTACTAGTGATAGATCTTTGTCCGATAAATTAAGTTTTCTGTACAAATTCGCTCGAGCAGAGATGATTCCACCACACAGGGCATAGTTTTGTAGCGAGTCCACGCTGGGCGGTACATATGTTGACTCTTTTGGCCTTACAACAGAGTGTATCTAACCAACACTGCCACGAGACTGAAATCCAAAAATAAGTTATCCAGGCGTCATAGGCTCCCAAAACCAATACATTTACCTGAAGACTGTACCGTCTCGGACAGAATCGCATAAAACACTTATAAGCTCCATCATCAGAAAATACGCCTTATCTGTAAACCTAATTCGAATTGTCGTTATATTTATGGTGTATTATTCAAAGTAGGGCGAACTATTTCCCATTTAGCAATAGCATTACCAAGCACCCATAGAGATCCCTGGATGACTGAAAATGTGTGCAGTAGGCAATATGTTTAGCGTAATCTTTAGGAAAAGCACAACTTACAAGATGTTGAGGCCGCATTGAGCTCATCAGCAGCATCTTCAGAGGTCATGGTGGCCGAATATTTCTCACCATCGCCGTCAGGTGTAGTTGAGTGCTCGTCATTAATAGCAGACGCCTCGGTTCTGTTTTCCTCCACAGTGGCTAGGAGTTCAGCAGCAGTTTCAGCTGCCATGTTATCCACCAAAGTACCAACCTGCACAGAGGTCACGGAAAACACAAGGTAGGGTAACGCACACATCTGACACGTTTATAAGGATTATTATAGATCAGAAATGTTACCGTTGCTTCCACTTACAAACACTAAGTAGCACATTTTGTATGAGTATCTTTGCCTTACAAACAGGCTAATATGAAGAATTTGCCGACAAGGGCAACACCACCACTTGTGGTATTGATAGACATAAATCCGCTCTTCTCGAGCAAACTTGAAAGTGACTAAAGATCCTCGCGCGTGAGGTAAGGCAAATCGGGCCGTAAAGTACACAGTGGCCCACAACCAGAATTAAATCCATTACCTTATGTCAAAAATATTGAATAAGGAAAACTACACAGTGTATTTACGACATTGGTTTTCAAAACTTGTACCCGTACACTATGGCACCACGTCGAAAAATGCAAGGGCTAAGAACTCACATCAGTTCCACTGTGCAAGTTACTTTGCTCAGTGGCAGGACTCAGAGCTTCTCCAATTCCAGAACCACCGTGGGGATTGGCCACTTCTCGACATTGAAGCTCTTCATCCGCCTTACTTGTTGTACCACTAAGTTCTTTCTCTTCTTCATCTTCTGCTCCGTCAAGTTGTGGTAGGTGAGAACCGGTGAACTTAGTTATGTCACTTTGTCCACCGTCCTGGTTACCACTACCACCCGTAACATTGGCTATGGTGGTCACGGGTTTAGCCGGGGTCGCCCAAACTATGCTTGCTTGACCGGGGCTTGCAACGTTACCTGTGCGATAAACCAAGTATATAGGTGGTGAAAAGACGTCTCAATGACAAAAACTTCATCTAGACAGCGTTCGGAACAGGAAATTCATACAAGAGTAATAACAAGAATAAGTTCTCGATGAGACTCGTGTCATGAGCAAAGTATTTCAGAAAAAGTGTCAAAGGACTCAATTATTCATCACATTGGTAGGTTACTTTATGACTAGATTTACATAACTAAATCATAAAAGAAAGTGAATTATGGCAACGGGGGGTGTGCAAATAACTGCAATCAGCGGATTTATTTACCAGTAGTCCCAACGATGACGACTTGTTGCTGCCTGGGTGCAGTAGTGACGCCTTGAATATTGACATTCGCAGTATGCTCAGCTGCAGGGGTAATCGGACGTGCTGGTGTCCCACTAGTGATAAAAATCGGTTTTCCAGGTCCTGGTTTTTGGAGGACGCTGGCAGGGAATGCTTTAATCACTTTTGGATTATTGCCTAAAATAGTAAAACATCTAGTAACGTGAGGTGGTCTCCGAATATAAAACATCAAGGAGCACCTGGGTTTGACAAGTTTAATGTTGAGATTCCAATGCAACCATCGACACAAAGCAGTGTGTAATAACCGACTCGGTGTCATGTATTGACCTCCACTTTATTTCATAGATATTTTTTCTTGGTTTCTGAGAAAGAATGATTTGAAAGTAGAACAGAATGAACATGTCATAACTTTGACTCGAATAGACCGAAATGGAACATTCTAATTTCAGCACTTCCAAGAAAATAGTAAAACTTTAACATCGAAAACGATTGAATCCATTGAGTCCAGAAATTCAACCCCACAAACACTTGTTCCATCGCAGTTATGAGTTAAAATCGCACCAGAAAGACGAGAGTTCAAGTAAAACTACAACTCAAATTTCGTTTTGAAAATAAGCAGGCTGATCGCGTGCCCAAAACCAGTGGGGTAGGTTTGTGATTTGGCATATATTGGACTACAGAACCGATTCATTCAAAACTAAAAGGCTAAATAACTTTCTATTCGCAAATACTTATGGGTAACTTTTCAGTGCCTACCATTCAGCAACAGGCAGTTCCATTTAAATTATGTGAAAGTGAAAAACGTCAATATGCACAAAGGCATCGGTTATACAAACTAAAGCTTAGTTGAAAAATAATATACCTTGGGAGGTGTGGACGGAAATGGTTTTCGCGGAAACATTAAGTTGCTGCTGCTGGCCCAAAGTGTTGGACGGAGAGAGAAATTTAATGGGACGTATTAGGCCTGTGGGAGTCTTAACAAGGTGGACGACAGAACTGGCAGCGCTAGGACCGCTTGGAGTTGTCGCGGAAGTTACTGAACCGACAGTAAGGCCTCCTGTAGCACTGGTGTTGGTCGTGACGATTTGCTTGGCACTACTTCCAGTGATTATCTAGGCAATGAAAGGGGCTGCACATTAGTAGTCAGTAAATTTTTGCATGTTTGGTTGAATTTACTCTCGAAAACTCATTACTCAGACTCTACGTTTTCAAAACATACTTGTGGACACACATTTAAGTTGCTACTACGGCACCCGCCGAATGGTAGGTTTGTGCAGAAACTAACGGGTTCGATTAAGAGTGCTAATTTAGTAAATATGGTACAATATTTTAGGCACACTTTCGTAATACAGACGTTGCTTATCAGCATCTAAAGAAAAAAGAGCAGCCGGTACCTACGCAGGCATTTTGGGTAATTCGTAGGTCCATTAGGGCTAGTTTTGTACTACAATAAAATAGTATTCTGAATGCGCGTTTCACAGCCCTAGATCACTCAATTAGCAGGTGGTAAAATATTTAGGTTTCACGTGCACCCACATATATTTTGATATTGCTTTAACATGAGACGCCATCAACCTGAATTAAAGCCATGAGTTCCACTAAGTTTTGAAAGAGCACTGCTGAATGGATTTGCCGTTTCAGAATTATTTAATAGGGAATGTTTTACCAGTACCATTAACATACTTGTGGTTTTGCGGCGGTAGTAACTACACTAGTGGCTCGTATTAATCCGGACGGCTGAGTAATTTGTTGCTGAGATTGTGCAGCGACGAGAATTGCAGCGCGTCCAGTGACTGCACTTCCAGGAACAGGCGTAATTTTTAAACCTGTAGGAGTGACCACTGTGGGAATACGATGACCGGCAGCGACTCCTCCGGCGACCGGCGTAGTCTGTGGGCTGGTGACGGAGGAAATTGTGCGTACGGGCGCAGCTGTAGCCACATTTGCCAACGCTTGCAATGAAGTTGCACCAACTGGAACTGTGGAGGAAGCTACCAAACGTTGCTGTAGTGGAACGTGAGAAAAACAGGAGCTAGACATACATTGGACTCACTAAATATTAGAGACAAAAAAAAAATTGATGAACAGACAGTACACGAGGTATTAAGCTATGAAGGGAGAATGGGACTTCTTGAGCAAAAAGTTTTAGGACAGGAAGGTAAGTGAGAAAACGATAACAATTTCAGCATACTTGGGAAGGAGCACTTGGCGTCGCCATGCCACCGACAGAAGATTTGGGTTGGGGGGCGTCACCAAGAGCCATAGGTGAACTTAATCGAGGAATCACCGACGGGGATTGCACTGACGATGGTGTAGAGACATCATACTTTTGAATTTGTAATATATAAGCATCTGCAGTTGGTACAGAACCCCAGGTAACGTCAAGACTTTGTGTACCAGCGCGGACTAGCTGAACCCGATTTGGAGCGGGTGGCTTATCAGTCTCCAGAAACCACAAGTCTTTAAAGCAAACTTGATTGTTCCAAGCTTTTCTGTAACCATCACGGCCGGACCAAACGTAGAGACGTGTGTTGACGGCGACGGCACAGTGACCTGCTCGCGCACGCGGTACAAGGCTGTCATCAAAAATTTCCATCTGGAAGGGCTCCCATGACATTGTATCAAGGTTGAGACTAGCAAGGGTATTTGTACATTTCCATTCCTTTTCGGCCGTTGTTTTCATATCATCAATTACGAGAGGTACCCATCCACCAAAAACAAACATGCTAAAGAAGAGAAAACATGAGTTTGTGTTTTTGGAAATTAATGGAGAAAAAATTTTACAAACCGATTGCCAATCACAGTCGAACTGTGCAGACTGCGAGGAGCAGGGGGATCACCCGAAACCGTGGGTTTTATCCAGGTCATTGTGTCTATTTCCAGCTGCCAGAGATCACCGAGGCGACATCCTGTCATACCGCCATACACAAGCAGACGCCATTTTTTGATGAGGCCATCCATAACTTGATAAGCTACAGCTGTATGAGATTCTCGAGGTGAAGGCGGCTGACCATAAGTAACTGGGATATCCCAACACATAGCCGAGGAATTAGGACGCAGTTCTAATGTATACAAATCGTTAAGATACCTACAAGGGAGTTAATGTTTTAGTTGGGAAGAGATTCGGGTTTAATTTGGAAATATAACCTACCTTGGAATGTTATTCTTGGGATCCTCACTGTCGTTTGTGATTCCGCCAAAAAGAAACGCCCTTTGGCCAACGAGGGTAAAGCTGTGGCCTAAATCAAGTCGAGGCCCACTTAGTAAACTGATCAACACACCAGACAACCACACCCACTCAATTAAAAAAAGTCAAAAATACCTATGCGTGGGCATGGTAATGGACCGTTTCTGGGGGGCTTGGGTTTAAGTCGCTTCCACTCCCATTTCGACGCCTGAAGCTCATAAAGTTCGTTTGAATATTTCCCGTATTCCAGCATCCCACCAAAAAGCAAAACACGCGTGTTTTCTGAAATCATTCCAAAAGCTGCACACCCTGGCGGTATATCTCCACGCACGGCAGGCAGAAACCACTGGTTAAGAGCTGAAATAATGAATTAGAGGCAGAAGCAAAATTACATGTATTAAACACATGAAGCTCATCAACTATCCCTTCGTTTCCTCCACCGAAAATAACAATGAGGTCTCTCAGTGCAACAGCTTTGTGACCGTGACGAGAACGTGGGACATTGCCTGATGCAGTAGTTACTTTTTTCCACTTCAAAACCGGACCTGAGGACGCCATATTTGATTACATACACCGCGCCATTAACTATTTTATGAAATGCAATTTACAGTAACAAATCACAAATTAATAAACAGTAAACGTCTAACTAAGGACCATCAATATCAATAATTAAATAATTTTTGTTTTATCAATTGCTTATAGACCATAAATTTCCTCTCAAATTAAAGGTAATATTTGTTGTGAACTGTGCAATCGTATTTTCAGGGTTAATTTAAGCAGAACTTTCCCTTACCTTGGCATACGACTGATCGCTACATTGCTCGCACACCAAAAAACTAAAACACATTTTTTAACTCCTGCAAATTTGCAACACAACCATGCCTTATGCAACATGTTAAATCAATAACATGCAAATTAGACACGTCGCCAAATATGTCAGTTTTTTTACGTGTTATCTATAATGTTCAAGATAAATTCAAGATTCTATGACTTTTGAAAAAAATAAAAAAAACTGCTCTCCTAGTTGTCTTCTACGTGGTAAATACTTTAAGTAAGTACATGTTAAATCTAGTTATAATAAGAACTTAACTGGCTTTTTGAAATAGCGTAATGTTCTAATTACAATGGTTTTGGGGTTTTTTTACAAAGCGTTTTATTGTGCATTTATAAATATTCTTTATCGCAAAAAAAACTAAATTCACCTGTTTTAAGATGTTTGCACTATGATAAATGTTAAAAGACTAAAAAAATTTCTTATATAAAAAAAATCTAGCAGGCGTAGCAGAATCTCAGGTTGCCATGAGAATACTATGCTGATAATCTTTTAAGTATTAATCTTAGTTACCTTTACGTTTTCCCATTCGATGTTAGCGTTTGAAATCTGTTTAAACTTTTTAACTAATTAAGTCAACTAAATTATTAAACCTATTTTGCTACCTAATTTTTTTATTAACAGTGTTTTTAATAGATTTTTGGAAGTTCAATTGCTTAATTCTTTTCATTGTATATAATTATTGGCTGGCACGGTGACCTGGTCGCGCTGTTTTGAAAATGGTTTACTTTGTTAAGGACAAGATTATATCGCCGAGTTTACAGAAATTGAGTTGCTGCAGATATATTTTTTTAAAGTTAATTTTTTCGACAAATGGGACATGCTACTTAGCACTTATATCTCCCGAAATTTTTAGCATCACTGTGGTAAATTTCCTGTTCAGTTAACAAAAGTGGTGTTAGTACAAATTTAGTGAAATTAAATTGCAAGATTAGCATGAAAACTGTTTTGGCTAATGGTTTAGGCTAATGACAAAAGTTTTGGGGACATTCTACGATTTTCCTTACAACTTAACAGTGGTCGGGTTTTTTATTTTTTAGCTTGTTTGCACACATTGATTCCACAGGTGTTATAAAATTGGTGTCGTATCAGATGCTTACAGGTTTATTTTTATAATTTAACCATTTTTTTCATGCAAAATTACCTAATTTGAATTTCAACATCGGTAAATGCATTTGCCGTTTACATTCAACCCTTGCTACAATTTCCTTTTCAATGCAATTAAGTGCATTTTCGATGCTAGGTACACTAACTTTACGTAAAATGTTATGGCATTTTGGATTCATTTTTTCCCACGCACATTAATTTTAAAATGAACTCTATAAACTTGGCTTTTTCTTTTACCTTGAATTTTCTTCCATTTTCATTTGAACGTATGTTTAATTCTAAAGTGCCAACTTCTTACTACATGCCCTAAGGTTGTATAGTATTGGTCAACGTTGTAATTTATTAAAGGATACGTTAACGTTGGTCTAAATAAGGTAACTTTGAAAATCATTTGGTGGCCTTTTAAGGCCTTAATCAATTAATTATTCTCAGGGGGTAATAGTGCAACTAGGACCCAACTTTGGTGTCATAATATAGATTTCACAGGTAATCAAACATATATTCGTTTCTGGATCAAAGGTTTGTTTGAATGGGTTAAGAAGCAAGTCTTTTCAAGAAGAATCATTATGACAAACTTTAATGAATGAATAATTGTTTTCATTGTAATGAATGCTGCCAGAAAAAACAGAGCACACGCCTTTGGCTACTACTTCATTGTAAATATGGTTTTTATTAATTTATTAAATACCAGGGTTAATTTTTTATGTTTTATTTGACAAGATGTTTTCATTTTCGGATTACTTTATACATTACTAATGACTTTATTGTAGGCATGCATAAATGTTAATGAATTTTAATTGCTTGCATTTAGTTGTACGTTTTTGATGTTTAGTTGTCTTTACTTAGAAGTGAAATGTGCGCTTGTCACCGCAAAGAAAGCCGTCTACTACAACTCGAATTTTAGAAAAATTAAGCCTCTATTTTGGGTTGACGTAATAAAGCAGAAGCTGAAATAGCGAAGCACCGTGAATCAAATTTCCATGTGTCTATATTGCCCTAGGACGGGAGAGAGTTCATTGGTTTTACCAACTAGGTCACGAAAATGTGTGTTGAATTATTTGCGGCAAAAATGTGCAGTGATGAAATATCAACGCGCATTAATTTACACAGCTGCCTTACTTATAGTCTCTTGAAAATGAATTTAGCCTCAAAAAAATTGGGATCAACATACTTTACCGTTAGGATTTCGTCTGAGCTTGCCTGCATTAATGGTATTGTTGGAATTAATTGCCTTTTTGAAAAGTTGAAAGTAAGTTGTGACGCTTAAAACGACTGATATAGAATAACGCTGTGTGGGAAAAATGCGTCGGCTGTATTCTGATTGAAAGAGTCGTTGATAAATGCACTTCATCAACGGTACAATTAAATATACATTTATTTCCACCGGCTCCGGGCATCTACCGCTTGCACTTATTTGGCAAAAACTTATTGCAGCATAAGTAAAAAATAATAAAGGTGAATAAGTTTAGCTGTCCTGCTGATGAAATTCAAAACGTTCTAGGGGTTTACCCATTAGTGCCCCTCTTCAAGGGAGAGTTTAAGTTTTCACTGTCTAGAATTAGACCCTTCGTAGTTCCTCGTGCACTAAGCAGCACCTGGGGTGTTATAAAGGGCCAATGTGAGAGCCTCTCACATAGTTGGTGTTTGACAGCCGATGTATTTGCTGGTACCCGAGTTATTAAGGGTGGAACGGATTCAACGGTTGTACATCCGACGGAAGGAGTAATCATAATTGAGGGTCCTAGCTTTCCCAGATTCCTGCCTTTTACCGCATGGAGAAGAGAGAAAAATATTGAGATCTTAACGAAGGTAAAAGATATTTTTGTCCTTTTTGCTTTTTTGGGTTTTTTGTACGAATACCATCATAAAATATAATTGGCTTTAGAATAACCTTAAATCAGTAAATCTTGCAAAATAGCCTGACTTCAATACATATTTACGTGTCTAGACATCAAGAACCTCTGAAATTCCAGAGAACCCTGTTGCTTTGTCAATAAACATGGACGACCCTTACCTTGATGACGAAAACATTTCAGACAATTTTGTCGAGCGTACTCTAAAGTTTTGCGAGCCAGGTAACTTCTCTTTAACCATTACAATTTAAGTCCTCGTCAGATACGTATGTCCAGTTGCCAAAATGATTGAGTGGTAATTAATTTACACATCGGAATTGGACCAGTTTGGCAGAATCCAGTCCCAGAAACATTCTTCTTTGCTTTGAACCCGATGTTGAGATTCTTTTTATTGAATTTTTTAGATACATACGTGGTTGAAATCTATGGCCTCACGACAACATGTCATTCAGAGTCGGTTAAACGGTCGTATTTGGTTGAATTGCTTGGCCAATTTTTAATATATTTAACGGACAAACAATGTGAAGTATGCGAAACTCTACAACGATCAGTATACTATTATTTTAGAGAGAAACAAATCTGAGCTCCAGAAGTGAACTCATTGGGCATCTAGAAATCCGCGAATAAAATTCTAGATGTGGTTTCAACCATGTAACTTCCTGATACATATAAATTTTATAAATATAATCCCTAAGACATCTATTTTTTCATGGCAATACTATCTGTCAATCTCTATTGTCAATTTAATCAAAAAAATTATTATCTTGGGAGACCGTATGCAATATTTTAAGAAGCATCCATCAACGAACTTTTTACAAACTAAACATTTTAACTATGTAATAAATATCTTTGATATGCTTCATTGTGGGGTTATGGCGAATGGTGTTTTATGGTGTAGACAAGAGCCAATCGGGTGTGGTATATGGTTCTACTTGAGTGCAGGATTTCTTTTGATTTTGTACTGATGTATTCAGCCACTTTGCAGCATATCTGGGCATTCAATTTAGCCTTTGACAGGAACTTAGAGAAATTGCTTTGTTGAACGTTATCCCGTCTTGTCCAGAGGCAACGTAAACCAACGGCCTAAATGTGCATGTATTTTTAAAATGAAACTCAACTCCATGCTATGATTTATCTTACACCAATAATCCTTTAAATTTATAAATTCTCACTTTCACGCTCCCGGATTTATTAGACAAAGTGCGTCGTTCCAGGTATGTCACTGTGTGAATGTAGTCGTACACCCCTCCGACGGGATGCCGGAAAGCTTTTTCATTTACTACATCAGCGAAAACATTTTTAGAGCTTTTCCTGCATGTGTCTCGAAAATAAGCTCATAAAATATGATATTACTTAATTCTCTTGTCTCCTGTTTATGTGAAGTCACCTAGGCGTAGCAGGCATTCAAATTCGTTGACAAAGCCACCTTAATCGCAGCCCTTTCCGGAACAACCATCTACGACCAAATGAGGTATGCTTACGCGTTCAGTCATCACAAAGTCGTCAGATGTTCTAACTAATGCTATCAGCACGCGACCTAAACTCAAAAGCCTGCGACTGTTACTGAGGTAGCTGTAGGTATTAAGAATTTGTCAAAGTATTAGTAAGGCCACAATGGTTCTTTGTAACAAACAGTCATTGCCAAATAATTTGTGCGCAAAACATGTGCGCGGCATGTGAAAGTAGATGGTTAATCCAGTCAGGTGTCCTTTCCAGTGTCAAGTATAAATATTTACCTTTGAAAAAGGTTACCTTTAGGTCGTAAA